CTATTGGACGAGACAGGCTTCTATGAAAATTAGTTGAATTCCAATGATTTGATTGGCACATTCACGTGACTGGCTGAAAATACGCACTGCCTATTGGTCAAATTCGAATCCCCAAAGGACAATTGTACAATACACTTGTACGAAATATAGCATAATGAAATATTTCATTGCCTTTTTATTGTTTTAATTAAAAATCTCTTTGTAGACTTCATCAAATCCGGAAGAAACTACAAGTAATAATTTCATAATTAATAAATCGATGAATATTTAGCGACAATTCGCTCAAACTTTCTGAAAGTTGTCGGAACCCTTTCCTGTCATCAAAACAATTTCTTTTGATCAATAAAAACATGTTTCAAAAAATTTTGGTCAAATGGGGGGACTACAGGGGTACCCTAGGCTTAGCAAAGGGGGGACATAATAAATCGATGAATATTTAGCGACAATTCGCTCAAACTTTCTGAAAGTTGTCGGAACCCTTTCCTGTCATCAAAACAATTTCTTTTGATCAATAAAAACATGTTTAAAAAAATTTTGTCAAATGGGGGGACTACAGGGGTACCCTAGGCTTAGCAAAGGGGGGACACAAAAAATTTTTTCAAAAATACTGAAAAACTGCCTCAAACCATAGGCAGCCCAAAAATGTGTGTTGAAATTTTTACCTTCGCGCGTGGAGCTCGGGCATGCATCGAGTCCACTCAGTTTATTATTATGTCATAATAATAAACTGAGTAGACCACTGGAGTAGACCACGCATTTTTGGGCTGCTATGCTCAAACTAGTCCAAAAACTTTCTGAAAGTTGTAGAAAACTTTTCCTGTCATCAAAACAATTGCTTTCAAAACAATTACATTCAAAAAATTCAAAAAACCCCTCAAACTAGTCCAAACTTTCTGAATGTTGTTGAAAACCATTCCTGTCATCAAATTACTTTCGTTCGATAAAAACATGTTTTAAAAAATTTTGGTCAGATGCAAAGGGGGACCACAGGGTATCCCAGACTTAGCAAAGGGGGGATGACAGGAAATTTTACAAAAGGGTGACTCAAAAAGTCGTTCCTGAGGGGTTAAGCATGTCGGCATCCTTTGATCTCTGCGATTTTTCTGAGGGGTAAGGGGAAAATTTACAAATTTCTGAGGGGTGTTTTGTGTCGGCACTTTGATCTTTTTTTCTTAGGGGTTAAAATTTTACGGGGGGGGGGGGGGGGGGGTGTGGATATTAAATGGAATGGCCCTTAAACCTGCGAACAGGCATACTCTGATTGGTTCCAATATGGCGGTACGTTGTTTTGGTCTTATTATTATTTTAATGTCAACACTTTTTCTCTCGTACTACTTTATGACTGGTCCTAAGGAATTATTGCACTATTCACACTCTTATAAATCTTCTCTTTTGGCAGAAGGCTCTGAAAACATGTGCGGCGATCTTTATGACATTGCAAGACATATGCTGAATGGCTCACCAGTTTCGTTACCATTTTATACTACAAACCATACACGTTGGAAATTTTACAAAGGAAAAAATCCTAACCTGTTGGATGAAACGTTGTTAATCTGGAATTCAAAGGGGGAAATGTCCAAAGAAGTTCGAGCTTTCATCAACCTATACAACAAGACAAAAGCAAAGGATATTAAAGTCAGGAAACATTTTATAACTTTTGCTAATGAGTGTTGTCATATGTCCAAATTGAAAGCTGTTATGAGCGCTTTGTATCCTGGTGGATTTGACAAGACCAAGATACACGATTTGAGTTCTTTAAGTGCTGGGTTTAAGAGAACTCACAGTAAGATTTTAACGCATGTTCGAGGTAGCGGATATTGGCTTTGGAAACCATATATTATACTCAAAACTCTTGTGGAAAATATGGCAGCTGGTGAAATATTAATGTACCAAGATTCTGGTGCTTACTTAATCCAAGATGCGGGCCCATTACTCAAACTATGTGAACATACTAAGTATGGCATCTTACTATTCTATATAACTTTCTTGGAACAGCATTATAGTAAACGAGATGCATTTGTGCTTATGCATATGGATAATCAACATGTTTACCAGACGTTTCAAAGTTCAGCATCGTTTATGTTGTTTCAAAAGAACTGCATGTCATTACAGTTCGTTATGGAATGGTTAGCGTATGCCTCTGATCCACGATTAATTACAGACATGGACAATACATTAGGTAAACAAAATTTGCCTGGTTTCAGAGAACATCGGCATGACCAGTCGATACTGTCATTGCTTTCTAAGAAATGGCAGATAATGGCATATCGGACACCTAGCCAGTATGGTAACACATTAGGCTACAAGGCTGGACCTTACAGTCAAATCATTATGCATAACAGAAATAGGAATTGATAGTTGAACAAACATGGTAATGTTTAATGTTGATGATGTCCACTCCTTTGCGCATGTGCAAACTTTGTTTACGTTTTTGAACTGTTATATTTGTAAAATATGATATACTAACTGAATATCAAACACTTTTCTGGTTCGTTATGCTTGTAAATGAATATAAACTGTACGTTTCAATTCAAAAAAGTTCAAAAGATGCACAATTTGGGCAGAACTGGTGTGCAAAATGGAGTGGAAATCATCTTTGACAGAAGGGCCATTTATATAAGCAAAAATAAGCCACAGGAGTCTCACTCCAGTAGCTTGCAAGATGTTTGTGGCACAAGTATTTTTTTATTAATTTTTTAATTCAATAATTTTTTGGGGGGGCCCAAAGCTATCACAGCCCCCCCCCCCATAAAATATTGGGGGCCGCAACCCCCATCCTTCCTACACCCCTGGTCTCAAGAAAGGTGATCTATTAAGCTGCAGCTTATTTTCACTTGTATAAATGGCTCAAAAGAGTATTTCAGATTTATATTACAGAACATTTATATTGTAAAAAAGAAAGTTTTATTTTTGTACATTTATTTTGCACAACTATATATTAAATCAAATTATATTATTGTCACTAATTGATGGCAGAGTGATTTAATTATTTAATATTCGACAACTACTAAATTATTATAACAGTGTAGTGCCAGGATACTCGCCACAGTGTCCCCAATTACGACGAGTCCTTAATAAATATAAAGTTTGTTCGTTCACTGCAACCAGGTATATCAATCATGTTTCGCTCGCTACTCTGGTTTAAATAAATGATTACAAAGCCCAGTCGAATTGTAATCAAGACCCAACGTTTCGACACTCCAGTCTAGTGTCTTCATCAGGGGTGATCTGAAACTGCGATCGAGGCTTCTTAAATACCCAAGGGATGACGTCACCTGCCAAGAAGATGCATATATTCTTCTGGCAAATAGGCGCCGTCATCCCTATTCATCATGCTTTGAATAGGGATGTTTCAAGTGAAATTAAATTATAAAAAACAACACAAAATAAAAATAACACGACATACCAGAGGTGTAACTTAACACTTGCTTGCTTGCCCGGACAAGTGAATATCATGACAGGCAAGTAAACATTTTATCTTGCTTGCCCGATTGAGCTAGTTGCCTTGCCACAAAAAAACTGGGCATCATTAAGTTTATGTTTTAATTGTCGGATAATTTTTTTATAGTGCATGTACTTGATTCAAATTTGTTTTTGTGGGCCAAAGCTAGATCTGAGGCAGTATAACATATCCATATAGAGCTGCAGTAGGAGAACGGGTCGACAAGATTTCCCCTTAATTTATACCCCCTACCTAGGTACCCCAGTGGCCATTGTCTGATGGCAAGTGAATGTTATTCAGGGCAACTAATTTTCGCAAGTGGTCAAAAAAGTAAAGTTACACAGTGGTGTATATACTATCCAGATAAATCACCTAGATTAAACATGGGTGGTTGGGTAGGGTAAACTTGCTGCAACTAGGCAAAACATACAAATACCCAGATCAAAGCACTGGTCACAAGGCGTGAAAAATCCCCTTTGATTGATAAGATGTCACTGACTCCCCTCAGCAGATGTAGCATGCAGAATACATCCGCCGTTATTCCATTAACCTCCCTGAGAGATGGACTTGAACCAAGTCTACCGTTAACCTTGCTTAAATGTATTTAACCACATTAAAATTTTTAAATCAACAAAATAAATTAATGATGGACAGACTTTTCCATGTAAATCTAATTCCTGCATTACTACAAAAGGAAATGTCTTTCCATGAATGTGTGATTCTTAAATCTATCATGGAAAACTATGAGTTCAATGAAATAGGTGTCCATTGGCAAGTCAATGCTTGAAGGGAAGAAAAATTTAATGTTTAAATCTATCATGAAAGAATATCTGTTCATACGGCCCAGATGAATGGTAACGTGTTCTTGGTACAGATTCACCATATTGACTTGGATCTCGGTAAGCTGGCAAACCCCATTTTTTTGAAAGGAGAGACATTACAGACTGATCATGTCGATGAGCATGAAATGATTCTGGATTAGGTATACCAAGGGTGTTAGGGTCGTCCGATACAATTTGTCTATCAGATGCATAAGCTAACCATTCCATTACAAACTGGATAGATGTACAACTCTTTCGTAACACAACAAACGAGGCCAAACGTTGAAACGTGTCAGCCGCTTCGGGAAAACTCATGTTCATAAGTATCAATGTATCCTGTTTTGTGTATTCATGTTCAATTTTTTGAAGACTGAACACAATTATACCATCTTTCGATTGTTCACATAATTTTAACAGTGGTCCTGCAGATCTTATGAAATATGCCCCTGCATCCTGATACATGACAATGTCCCCCTCGTTCATATTTTCCAGCAAAGTTTTTAACACAATATAAGGTTTCCATAACCAATACCCTGCACCACGAAGAGTCTTGAGCACATCCTTGTGTGTCTCACGAAATCTTAGTGACATTGAATCCAAATTAAACGAATGGACATAATCAAACCCCCCGACAGACTTCGCCTTGTATAAAGCACGTTGTTTTGAATATGCACAACAATTATGACCAAAAGTTATCAATACTGTCCTTGCTTTAATCTCACTCGAATTTGCATTATAAAATTTTCTCGTTTTTTCCAAATTTTCCTCAAATATAAGATTCTTTTTAATTAATTCTTTTGGGGCAGTTTGTTTGAATTCCCACAACGTTTTTCGTTTATTAAACGGTAAAATAATTGGCTCGCCATCCACGAGAAGTCGTGCAGTTTTTAATAAGTCTTTGCAAGACAACGTTTCTTGGTTCATCTCGGGCAAAATCCCTCTTTCCTCGGGTAGAAATCTATATATTACGTACCAATTATTGGATCGATAAACTGCAAAATACGCCACGGTAAATAATAAGCACAATATTCCCATGTTTCTTTTCCGGGGATTTCGTTGTGCGTTTTGAAATATTGTTCTCCAAAACGTTACAATCCATAACTGAAGCGATCTGGCGCTTCTATATATCATTTTTCAAAGCAAAACCCTCGAGAACTTGTTGACAAAATAGTAAATTATTTTCTGTATTACATGTATAAACAGGTGAACTACAAACAATACCCAATAGAGGTGTGCATCGGATCGGATTGGACGTTTATAATCCGACAATTGGCTAATGTTTAAAATCCGATCCGAAATTGTCTAATCCGAATCCGATCCGAGTTTTGATAAAGAATTCCAATCCGATCCGAAGAATTCTTTAATAAAATACATTTATTTCTCATTCAAGTTGAAATATTTAACAAAATAAACATAAAAGCAAGAAATATGTGTCAAGAAGCTGACAAAGTGACGTCCAATTGAAGTATCAAACAAATAATGCAGCGACAACTGCGATAATGCTTTGATAAATGCATGGATAATTAATTCTTGCGATAATGTGTGGATAATTAATTCATTTTATTTCGGATATCGAAGTCCGATCCAACTACGAAACAACTTTATGAATCTGATCCGAAATGAATATTTTGGTTCCGAAATCCGAACAAATCCGATTGGATTCGGATTGGATTTGCACACCTCTAATACCCAACTGTAGTTTTGTGAAAATGCTATGAAAATCCCAAGTAAGCTCCCAAAATATCCAGAGATTCCCTAAAAAATCCCGATATTCCCACTTTTTAAGTCATTTAGGATAGCCTTGTACGTCAATGTTGTAAAAGCGAAATCTTGAATCTTATCGAAAATTATTCCAAATGTTACTGGTCGAAAACCATTTCTAGCATCAAAACAATTACTTTGGACTGATAAAAATGAATTTATGATAAAAAATAATTTTGGTCAAATGCAAAGGAGACCACAGAGGCAACCCTAGGGGTCAAAGGTTCGCCAACCTGGAAAAGTTCCCCAACCTGAAAATTGTCGAAAAGCATTTCTTTCATCAAAAAAATTACTTTTGATTGATAAAAATGTGTGAAATACCAAAGGGCACCCAGTGCATATTTTTCAAATACCATGAATGCCAAAGAAAAGTACAATGAGCATGCATATAAACATAGCGATGGATTCCATTGAATTAGAAAAATGTAGTTCATACCTGATAGAGAGCAGACTTCTCTGGAGCATCATCAGTTGGTTAGACCATACATTACATTGTGCCGACCCAAGATAACACATTGGAATATATTACATACTCTGTAGAAAAATAATAAACAAAGAATAAATTGTTGTGTTTTGGTGTAATTCATTGTGCTTTCTGTTAACCCATTAAGTTGCATTGGACCCTACTTATGATTTTACTCCACTGAACTGAATAGAACTGGAACGCTACCGAGAGAATGTAGTTTAACCCATTGAGCCCTGATTTATTATTTTACTCTGTCTAACGCCAGATGATTTTACTTGTCAAGAGGAGAGCACTGGCACTTAATGGGTTAACCCAGGGAGTGGCAGCATTCTCCTATTGACAAGTAAAATTATCTGGCAATACACAAAGTAAAGTAATAAGTAGGGCACAGAGTGCATAATGCATTGTCTGATTAACCCACTGAGTGGAAGCTCTCTCCCCTTGACAAGTCTGGTGTTAGACAGAGTAAAATGAGAAAGTATGGTGTATGAGGGCACATTGCCACTGAAAGTGTCAGCACTCTCCTAGGAGTTGTGTGGCTTTACACAGAGTAAAATAATAAATAGGGTACATTAGGGTGTATTACCACAGACCACAGGATTAAATTATATTCTCCTGAAAGTGGCCACATTTCTAAAGTTGAGAAGCATCTACCTCCCAGGTCAAAAGCCAAATTTGTTTACCAAATTAGTGTGAGCAAAGTTGCCTGGCATTAGACAGTAAAATCATAAAGTAACATGCAGTGCAACTTAAATGGTTAACTAGCAGATTGTCTGATTATAACCCATTTAGCACTGGTCAGCGCTCTCACCTTGATGAGTAAAATCATCTGGCATCAGACAGAGTAAAAGAATAAAGTAGGGTACATTAGGGTGCAGTGCAATTTAATTGGTTAAACATGGGCAGATTGTCTGGTTAACCCATTGAGCACCAGCTCTCTCCCCTTGATAAGTTGTCTGGCATTAGCAGAGTAAAATTGTCTGGCATTAGCAAGTACTGTAGGGTGTTGCAATGCGACTCAATGGGTTAACTAGATACATGGGCAGATAGGCTAGTAAATCCATTAAGTGCCAGCGCTTTCCCCTGGACAAGTAAAATCATCTGAATAAAATAATAAAGTAGGGTGCATCACGACCAGTTCTCTCATCTTGATGAGAAAAATCATCTGGCATCAGACAGAGTAAGAGAATAAAGTAGGGAACATTGGGGTGTAGTGCAACTTAATGGGTTAAACATGGGCAGATTGTCTGGTTAACCCATTGAGCACCAGCCTGGACAAGTAAAATCATCTGAATAAAATAATAAAGTAGGGTGCATCACGACCAGAATACGAAATAATAAAGTAGGGTGCATCACGACCAGTTCTCTCATCTTCATGAGAAAAATCATCTGGCATCAGACAGAGTAAGAGAATAAAGTAGGGAACATTGGGGTGTAGTGCAACTTAATGGGTTAAACATGGGCAGATTGTCTGGTTAACCCATTGAGCACCAGCGCTCTCATCTTGATGAGTAAAATCGTCTGGCATCAGACAGAGTAAAATATAAAGTAGGGGCACAATGAGACTCAACAGGTTAACAAAAAAATTCAAAGCAAACAGCCAAACAGTATGTTGACACAAACATGGAAATAGTTTTTCCAGAGATCTTGTCTCGATCAACAAAAATTGTATTATATGAAGTTTTGAAATAAACAGACATGTAGAAATACACAAACCAAGAGAGCAGGTTAATTTTAACCCAGGGTTGGTGATAATTTAGCTTTGAAAAATTGTTGATTGATAATACCCGAGTTAAAAATTAGGTGCCCTGTCAAAACGGCCCGCTTCGGTATATGTTTATAGTATTACGTTACTAAACAACACAAATAAATCCATTGCCAGAAATTACAGCTTAGTACGCAAAGGTGAGCATTTTATAACAATTAGTCAATTATTCGCCGAAGGCGAGGTGATTTAATATCGGGGAATATTCACAGACGAAGTCGAGAATATTTAAAAAATAACGTGTTGTATTGGTTTGTGTATTTGTATATTTCAAAACATAACAACATTTCTGAAGTTTATAGTAAAAATAGTATTAAAATTCATATTAAAATTCATAAACTGATTGTAAACAAAGCCTCTGATTGGCCTTACAAACGGTTTGTGAATATGATTAACTTTGGGAAAAAAACCGTTAAAAACTTACCATTGTTAAAGTCAAGCTGTTCTTTCTTTCAAACGTTGTCTGTTCATTCATAGCCGCATTGCCAGTACAATTTTTTATAAACCAATGTAGAGATGTAGAGTCGCCAGCGATATATTTTCGCTCGTCTGTCCGTGACTTTCCCCTCGACTTTCACAACAAATAACATCAGAATAACTTCAGGTATTTTCCTTTCTAGCAAAGCAACATTTCCCATTTCAATAAGTTATAAATTCCAGAACTAATTAGTAGCCATATCGTAAAATAAGCGGTTATTTAAAAGCAATATGTAAAAGCCATCAGAGTTGCCATCTTGCTTCCACGAAGGACTTTTAAATTTTCCCGCCAAGAAGCTCCCGCGAAGAAGGCGAAGTCCCGTATGAACATGACGTCACATGGCCTGCGACGTCACAACAACCTCGTCCCCAGGGTCTTCTTCGTGATGGCGCGCAACTGACGTCACAAGGAGCCTCCCGCGTGTATTGCGTGGTGTTTGGCTTCCCTGCGTGGGCTGTTTAACCAAAGAAAATGTCTGAAACTCGATATCGGCAAAAATTATCACCAAATGGCCATGAAAATCAAGCTAATGGCTTTCCTCATGTACTGGCAAATAACAACAATGCCAGTTCTGAAAACAGAGTGTATAAAATAGGAGACATGCCGGAGTATTTGCGTTTTAATCCGTTCGTGAAAGCCGGTTATCGGCGACAAATGAATGCCAAAGAGTGTTGTCAAAGTTTATTATTTTTTCATAATGAAACTGTCAATATATATACTCATGGTAAGTCTATTATAGTTCACTGATTAATTGTTTGGTAAAATTCACTCGAGAAATTTAAATGTTTAATATGGTTTTGTTTTGTAAATATTCATTCGAGCTAAAACGCTTCATTATATAAAACTGAATACATAATATTGTGCATCAGTGCTCAGAAGGAACTCTGATTGTTTAGACACTTAAATGTCAATCAAAGGAAGATATAAAAAGTTCTTTGATTTGTTATTTATTAGTGAACCTCTTTGTGAGAACATTAAATATCTTATAAGATTTTGTATTGTTTTGGATTTTTTAATAAGGCCGATTACAGTACACAATGTTTTTGATATGTTACTCTGAGTGTATATCCACACCGGGCGCAGGCTGAAAAGTTAGCCTGACCGCGGTGGGAATGGAACCCGCAACCTTTGGGATACTAGTCCAATGCTCTGCCAACTGAGCTATGTGACCAAGTTTCTTCAAGTGTGTGGTATTTCGGAACTAAGTCTAGTACCTTCAATATGGATATACACTCAAAGTAACATATCAAAAACATTATATTCACCTGAGTACATAACATCAAAACTTACACTACACAACTTTGGCCTAAAACTGTCGCATGCAAACTGCTTACAACTTGTGTGAAAATATATTGTATAAAAATATATCAATAAAAGGCAAAAGCATATTGACTGGACTCAGACTTTTGACCCCCAATATATGTAGGTGCGGTCGTAGACGTTTGTGAGAGTGACGGCGATACACATTTTTTATGCGATTCCACAGTTCGGTGAAAAGGCCGATTTACACTGCACAACTTTGGCCTAAAACTGTCGCATGCAATCTGCTTACAACTTGAGTTGTACTGTGTAAATCAAGCACACAACTTGTCATTCCGAGCACTTGTGACCTTAATGGAGTCCCTTACTTGATACGGTAACTGTACCATATTCAAGGGCAGAGTGCTGCTCCAGAATGGGTTAATCAGACTATGTGCCCCTGTTAACCCTCTAAGTGGCAAGGATGCACCCCATTTCATTATTTTACTCTCAAGAGTGCATGGGTTAACATATATGTACCTTTTCATTTAGCTATATCTGGAATTCTGATGCTGTTTTGGATACCATACGCAAGCATACCATCAATCAACGCAAACTACACCCTCTACGTCTTACACTACATTGGCTGTCTCTCACCGTTCATTGGAAGCACAATCTACCATCTATTCATGTGTCACACTAGTGGATCTGTTACTTACGACCGTCTACTCAAGTTTGACATGTGTGGTATCTGGGCTATTAATGCATTTGGTGGAATAACTGCCATTAAAGCAACTTTATATTGCTCTCCAAATATTGGGAATTTTTGTGTAGTGTTGTATTTCCTAACTGCATTCGTTATTCTATATTTGGTCCTCACTGCCAAGAATGTAAAAGAAAGATTTAAACCATTACTGTTGTTTGGGGTATGCCGATACACATTACTAGCTGTCCGAGGTGTCATGTTGTATTATAACCTAGCTGCTGGTGATTCAAGGGCAATAATTTATTATATCCTCATGGATCTTGCTGCATTAATAGGTGGAATACTGAACGTTATTCGTTTTCCAGAGCGTTATATTCCTGGCAAACTAGATTACTGTTTTAATAGTCATAATTTGATGCATGTTGTGGTAACATTTTGTCCAATACTGTTGCATTGTGGAACAATGTTAGATTTCAACTGGATGGCAAATAATCAATGTTAAATCTTTGTTATGATATTTTGTTACTGTTTCATTGTATTAAAATATAATAAAAGTTCAGCTGTTTGTTTGTTTTGGATGAACATTACCCCTTACCACATAGTCTATTAGCCTGCGAACAGGCTCTCAAGCTGAATTGAGAGCCTGCATCGATGACTAATGAATTTGAATATCTGCCCCGTAACGTTCGTTTTTCCAAATATGGAATGTCTATCCTTATATGGTGTTGTTTACAACTTTCGTGCAAACTAAATTTAGACCGTGCAAACTAAATTTAGACCGTACAGTTTATACTGTTTTTCGAAATATAAGATATTGAAGCAAAAGTTTCTATGTATGTCAACTGCTGAAGCACTATGCATAAAAAACACATTTCGTGCTTTGAGATAAGATGGCCAAGACCAATTTGATCAGTTAATGTGTTTTTTATGCATAGTGCTTCAGCAGTTGACATACATAGAGCTCAGCGGAAACATATAAATTATAGCATCTGACCAATGAGAATTTCGCGTCACGATTTGAGACGCAGATATTCAAATTCATTAGTCATCGATGCAGGCTCTCAATTCAGCTTGAGAGCCTGTTCGCAGGCTAGGTTAATCATAGTCTATCTTTTTCTACCTGTTTCTGCCTGTCCTTCCTACATCTTGCTTTTTATCATTTCTTTCTATCTGCATCTCAATTTCTTCTGCATTGCATTTCAAGCTAGCTCTTAAGAAAAAAAAAAACAAAGTCAGAACAAATTAACAAAAAACTTCAATATAAATTACCAGTTATTTACACATAATACAAATAGAAAAATATATACTCACTGTGCTTCGTCCATACTGCTATTTACATGGGGGGGGGGGGAGTTTCCCCTACTGCCCTGCACCCCTCCCCCACTGTGTACGGCCCTGGCAACTGTTTATTCTTATGACCTGTTCAAACGAGGCCAACATATTGGTCTAACTTCATCTAACACTGTTGATTGAACATTGTGTAACGTATTGATTCACTTTAAGGTGGAGTTACACGAGCAACAAAATTGCTGCAACTTGCAACAAAATCTGATTTCAACGCATGTTAAGTAGAAATGTCGACACATGTTGCCTTGTGATTTGTAATTTATGTGTAAACATTTCTACTTAACATGCGTTGAAATCAGATTTTGTTGCAAGTTGCAGCAATTTTGTTGCTCGTGTAACTCCAGCTTTACTCACTCTCTCCTCCGCAGAGCCTCCTTAAGTATTTACAAATAACTTACATGAAGTTTCCTGAATAAAAGTGAGCGTGCGCGGTGTTAGCTCTTCCCATCACCCCGTGCGCACTCACTTTTCCCTCACTAGAAATTTCATGTAAGCCTCTGCAGAGGAGAGAGCTTTGCTCACATGATAATACTGGATACCTAGTGAAGTATATTGACCAGTCCTAGGACTGCATCAAAATTAATTCAGTCCCACTTCATTTGGTCCAAATTTAATTCACCTCACTTTAAGTGGTAGTTTAGGGACGGACCATTAGAAAAGTGATGGGGGGGATTTTCTAAGAGGCAATATATATTCTTTTAAGTGAAATTTATAGGCTCATCTTCCAAGCTAGGAATTTTTTTTTGCACTATGCCTTGGGAAGATTTTTTCCCTAATTATTCTCTGGGAATAATATAATATTTTTTTTGGTTTTGCCCCATCCACCCCATCCCCCCCCCAATCACTTTTCTAATGGTCCGTCCCTTATTCGTATGAGATGTCATTTCAAATCTTCCAGTTCAGACTGGACTAGATTTCAAGTCTTCCACTTGCTCGAATTGTGCGGACTTGAAATCTAGTCCAGTTCCTCCTAGTCGGATTTGAAATATTACATCAGCAATGTTGGACTCGTTTGAAAGGGCCTTGGGAAAAAAACAACACTCCCAATAGTTTTACATTCTTGTCTCCTGAATATCATCATATGTTCCCATTGTGACATCATCACATGATCTGTTCCTATTTGATAGCTCTGAGTCAGACGACTGAGGGGAAGCTTCACCCGAGTGAGGTTTCTTGCTCTCTGAGTCGACAGAGAAAAATGCACTATCAGTTCTAGCACGTTCATCATATGAACAGGGAAAAGGTGAAAGGTAGCTCTCATCTCCCTGAAGTCTGGTATCTTTTTCTGGACAATTACCGTCACTAGTCCTTTGCTCGTTTGCGCTACCAGCAGTTCGATGCCCTTTAGTAAGATGGCAGTTATCTCCATGTGTTTGAGGTTTCTCAGCTACATTTTCATGCTCAAGTGGATTGTCTTCTAAACACAGTTTTAGTTCAGGTTTTTTATCTTCATAATTGCCCCCAGAAATGCCCCGCTCCTGACAGCTGTGTGCTTGTGATAAAGCCTGATCGGACAAACTCTCTAATTGTCCATGATCAGATACTGGGTTCTCTTCTAAACATATCTCTTCTGGTGCCTTCCCAGGCAAACTCTCGCGACATGCCGCTCCATAATTTACTTCTTTTTCATGCTCTGATAAAGGTCTTTCTTCTAAAACTATTTTCTGTTCTGGTACATTGTCATCGCTGGCTATTAATTCACCATCTGCTGACAATTTAGAGCCATGTGGTTGATTAGTGTTGTCCGTTCTAGCACAAGTTGGTGAGGAACTGTCCTGGACAGAATATGACGATGGTTGATTATTAAGTCCAGATGTCCTGTGCTCTGATGACTGGTTGGCATCAGTACCACTGTCATCATACTGTGATGATGCTGAGGGTGGTGGTGCCGTTACAGTAGAATGGTCATGGTTAGAATCCTGTGGTGATTGGTAAGAAAGTTCAGGTATCTGACTGTCAGGTAACTGGTTGGTACCATTACCACCATACAGTGATGACGATGGTAAAGATGCAGTAGAAAGGTCTGTTGAAAAATGGTTATGACCAGCATCTGGTATATAACCATAACTTGGTGACATGTGGCCAGGAGAACTAGCCGTACTAGTTCCCAGATAACCTTTATTGGATGTACCATACTGTCCAGGTGTAAAACTATCACCATACAACTCGTGGTCTGGTGGTATGAAACCATGTACAGGAATATCCACCACAGTACCATGCTCTGGTGCGTGGTAACTTTGACCATACAGTGGAGACGTACCATCACTAGGTATCTGGTCATCATGGTGATCATCTTTGGACTGGTAACTTTCACTATAGAGAGGTAACATACCATCACTATGTAACAACATATGGCTATGATGGTGATCATCGTCTTTTGAGTGGTAACTTTCATCAGAGCTACTCGGATTTGGTGAGGGACAATTATCAGAAATACCATAGGCTGACGACTGGCGAGACAAACTGGCACCATCTTCATAACCATTCCCTGGTGACAGATAATTACGACCATCCGTTTCAATTTGAAGAGAACTACCACCATAGTTATTATTGTTCGAACATTGGTCTAAATTTTGTCCAAATTTTAAACTAGATCTGCTTCTTAAATCCTCGTTGGATACTGGCTCGTCTCTTTCCGATAAACTACTCCTATTCAAGTGTGGATTACTCATGGCGACTTTTCGTCTTCGTACAGGTTTCTTCGACTCGTGGCTCGAGATATTTTCCTTTCTTTGTAATTCTTCGCTAGAGTGCTGTTCCGAATGTTGACTGTTGTCGTAATTGTGCCCACACATGGAACAACATCGTCGCTCTTCAGAAAGGGATGGAACTAGAGGTTTTCTTTTACAGTCTTCTAGTAAAGTTATTACTTGATCCAGTTTAGTTTCTAATGATTTTACCTACACAAAGATACAATCATATACTGGTTTTAAAACACAAGTATTCAACTTCAAAGTAAAAACTAAAACTAACATCATGTATAGAGGATAAATTCATACAGTCGATTTCAGATAAGTTTGACCACAAATGTTCCGAACTTCATTGCGAAGTTCGCAAGTTCGTTGCGAAGTTCATAATGAAATTCACAAACCACTTTGTAAACTACGCATTTGATTCGCTTCTTTTACTTCAGGGACTTTGTTGACAAATTGGCAATTGTGAGTTCCAATATGAACTTCCGAACTTCGCAACGAACGAAGTTCGAACCATTTGTTGTCAAAGTTTCGTGAAATCGACTGTAAGAGTCGAGACCGAAATGATTTAAATTTGTTTCAGTTAGTTCAGAGAGAAACTACGACAACATATCATTAAAACATCACATTCAGATAATTCGGACACAAACGATAACAACTAAATCGAAAAACCCCGAATCTTTAAACCTGGAATCGAAAAACCTCCGAATCTTTAAACTTGGAATCGAAAACCCCCCGAATCTTTAAACCTGGAATCGAAAAACCCCTGAATCGTTAAAACCAGCATATCATTAAAACATCACATTCAGATAATTCGGACACAAACGATAACAACTAAATCGAAAAACCCCGAATCTTTAAATAATTCGGACACAAACGATAACAACTAAATCGAAAAACCCCGAATCTTTAAACCTGGAATCGAAAAACCTCCGAATCTTTAAACTTGGAATCGAAAACCCCCCGAATCTTTAAACCTGGAATCGAAAAACCCCTGAATCGTTAAAACCAGGAATCGAAAAACGCCCGAATCTTTAAATTTGGAATCGAAAAACCCCCGAATCTTTAAACTTGGAATCGAAAAACCCCCGAATCTTTCAACTTGGAATCGGAAAACCCCCGAATCTTTGAACCCAGGAATCGAAAAACCCCCGAATCTTTAAACTTGGAATCGAAAAACCCCCGAATCTTTCAACTTGGAATCGGAAAACCCCCGAATCTTTGAACTCAGGAATCGAAAAACCCCCGAATCTTTAAACTTGAACTTGGAATAAAAAAAACCCGAATCTTTAAATAATTTTCAAGCAAGATTTCCGGAATTTCCGTCAAATGGAAAGCGCCTCAGGAAACGAAATACGCGTTGCCCACACAACACAAAATTCCCATTGGTTGAAATCGATACGCCTGTCAATCAAATCTGATATATAGCAATTATTTGGATATAAGTAATGTTTATGCAAAGGCGTAGCCAACTTGACAAGAGCGAAAAGTGGGCGTATTTCTTTTTTTTATGTGTTGTG